TTTATATATATGTTTTTTTCTGTCATTGTTTAGACAGTGGAACCAACAGGGAAGCGTTTCTTGCTTGCAGTTGATGTCAGTGCTTCCATGACACAAAGAGTTTTGGGCAGTGTGCTCAATGCTAGTACAGTTGCTGCAGCAATGTGTATGGTAAGAAATGGATCTCTTCTTGTAGCCATCCAGAATTCTTTAGGCTTGATTATTTAGAACAGTGAGTCAGTATTGTACTGCTCTTCTGGCACAAAGATGTCTTCAAGATGCCACTAGAGGATTCCTTAAGCATGGTGGAAATCTGTGAGTGGCATAGGGCCACCAAAAGTAGCTTCTGTGCCAACCCCCTCCTGGCTTCTGGCATAGAAGATATGGCCAGGACACCCTTATGCATGGTTGCTAGGAAGGCTCTTGAAGACTGTTGGTAACCAGAATCAATAAGAGCAGCCTAAATACTAGGCTGGTACCCAGCATATGTTAGAGGAGTCTTTAGGCTGCTTTTGTCTTAAAATCACTTTCCTTGCAGCACAATGCAGACTGAATTGAAAGTGATTTGGGAAAATATTTATGCATGAATCCATCTCATCAAGCCATGCTTTGAGGAATGTATTCACACATATGGAATGTTAATTTAGAAAGGATGATAATATTTTAAATGGTGAGGAAAATACATACTTTTTTTCCTTTTTAGGTTTTAAAATTACTTTGCTGGAGATTAGTAATATAGAAAAATACTCCAGTGCACTTTTCAAATAGCAGTCAATTTGTTTTTAAAACTTAAACTTTAAAATGAAATTACTTGTGCTTTTTTAAATTTCAGGAATATAGAAAAATAGAAATGTACCATGTTCAAATGTAGTCAGTTTCCTATAACAGAAAGGAAAGAGAGAGAGAACAGAAAAAATTCTAACTTTGTAACTAGAAACTAAAAATTAAGGTGTGTGTGTTTTTTTTTTTTTTTGTTATAGTGATTAGGTCCATTAGTTCATCTTGGATTGCTGCAATATTTAGGCACTCTAAGATATCAGTGCAAATTAAGGGTAGAGTTGAAACATTAACTTCACTTTTTTGGGGGTCAGTCATATCTGTATTATTTTAATTTGGTGCTTTGCGTTTTTAGTAGAAAATATGTTGAATTATCACAAAACAAACAAACTGCAGATAATTACAAAGTGATATAATTAAAATACTTGACCTAATTCCCCAAAACCTTATTTTTCTCCCAGGTTGTTGCACGCACAGAGAAAGATTCCAATATTGTTGCCTTTTCGCATGAAATGGTCTCCTGTCCAGTGACAAAAGACATGACATTACCTCAAGTATTACTGAAAATGTCTGAAGTATGTAAACACTTTTAGTTTTGTTGTACTGTAGTTACTGTATAATTCTGATAAATCTATTGCCAAAAATTAAGACATAATTTGAGTGATTTAGTATTTGCATTCTAATTTGTGCTTTCTAATTAATCCTAGTAGTGAATTTATTCTACATTTTAGTAAAATACTCTTCTTGTTTTTCCTTTCTTAATATATCTGATTGCTACTGAAAAGCTATGTCAAGTAAATCATATTACTTTATTATCTGAATAGTTCTACACTTCATTTTAGAGAAGTGGTATTGGCACATAATCTCATAAACTTAAAAAAATGGATAACAATAAATTCTGTAAGGCAAAATGGTGTAACTTTTTTTTTGTAATATTACCAAAAAAGCTTCTGCATATAGTACATAAAGTACTTTACATTTTCAAAGCAACTATATAAACAGTCATCTTTATATCTTCAATTCTGCATAGTCACTGCAATGTTCTAATTCATATTTTTCAGTGCTGTTAACTTGTGCTTTACAACAGCACGTGCCATAAAATGTATCAGTTTCTGGGAAATAAACTCCTCTGGTGACGTATCCAAAGCCCATTGCAGTTGGATAAGACTCCAGTTGACATCAGTGGTTAGGTTAGCCTCCAATTACAGTATTGAGTAAAAAAGGCCAAAATCCAGGGCCCAGTCCTACAATTTGATGAGCACAGGTAGACTTGTGCACCCATTTGGAACTCCACTGATTTCAGTGGACATGCATGTTGCATTGCAGGATGGGGCCTGCTGAGTTAGTCGTCATAACTAGGTTGTAAGGAAAAAAACTTCACTGTCTGTCTGCCATCAGAAAGACTTTTCTTAATTACTAAACTTATTAATTTTCCCTTTATGTTGCTACTCCTGATTTTTCTGTATGTTTTCAATTTTGTTGGCACTGGCCAATTTTGTTGAAGGGTAAAGACTGTGCTTCATATTCTTGAGGTATCATATTTCCTCTACATCCATCTCAAACCCACTCAAGTTAAACATAGTTTTTTAAAGCTAAATTCAATGTATTGAGTTGCTTGTAAGCTATACTTGAGTCCCTTATCATTTTGGTTAAGGTCCCCCCACCCCCTTAAAAAGAACCATCCTCAGAGAAATTTACATTCAGTTTATCCATAATTGCTCACAAATTCTTTTTGACTACTTTCTAAATATCTAGAGCTGGCTGAAACTTGAAATTTCCAGTTTGTGGGAACTTTCAATATTTTGACATTTGAAATTTTTATATAGAAATTTCAGTATTTTGAAATTTGGTTTCATTTCGGGTAGCAATGAAACCCAACTTTTAGAAATTTCTCACAAACTGAAAATTCTGGAAAAAAAAAATTGTTTTGGAAACAACACATTGTGATTCCAAGAGGAAATATGCTATTTGGGACCCAGTAGCTACTGACTAAACTTGACATGATTCTGGTTAGTTTCACTGTTGGAATCCTACCTGTAGTTCATCAAAAGTTCCTCAAACCCAATATATTTCAACAAAACACTTCAAGTTGATAAATCTTCATTTTCTAACAAAACCCTGTATCACTGAAATATTTTCAACCAGCTCTATAAATAAACATCATTGTTTTTAAATATACTTTGATACATTTTATGTTCAATGTTTCTAATGCAATTAATGTCAAAGAAAGAGTAACCCATTGAATGCTACATTGTAGATAGAAGTAGGAAAGCTGTTAACTTTCTCATGTCCTCCTTTGTACTATCCAATTCAGGGCCACATTGGTGTTGGATAGTTAATCGTAGCTGTTAATATGAAATTATAATATTTATAAGATATCACTGTAATACTTTCAGAATTTTATGGTGAAGAGCCCTATTCAGTTCTTAATAATATTCTTATGTATTTTTAGATTCCAATGGGTGGCACTGATTGTTCTCTTCCAATGATATGGGCTCAAAAAACACACACAGCTGCTGATGTCTTTATTGTGTTCACTGATAATGAGACGTTTGCTGGAAATATTCATCCTGCAGTTGCTCTGAAGGAGTACAGGGAGGTAAATAACCTTCTGATAATACCGTATCATTGTTCTCTCATACAATAGTGGGGAAAAATTAAATTGTTCAGAAATTTCTTTTAGAGACGAAAGCATTTGTGATTTAATGCAATAAATGTATGCTTTTGTATTACAGAAAAAAAGGTTCATTCTTCGAATCTTTGTACACTCAGGGAGAAATGAATGGCATTCGTTGCAGATAAATCTTGGGGGGAAAAAACAGGAATTTTCAGATAAAAATTTCTCATTAATTATTGGCCCAATATTTACATCCTGTGTTTAAGTTTCTGTAACAAAATTTGACATGCTTAGTGAATTTTTGAACTTTTCTATTGGATATATGATTGGTAAATCAGTGAAATTCTACTTGTACAAAAAAAAAAGTGAAGTTCTGATATTCCTCAGTGCTTTGTGATAGAGTTGTTTTCAGTAATGAAGTAAAAACTTGTATAGAAATAGCTGCCAGTATGAGGTTATGGGAGCCTGCAAAGAAGGCAGATCAACAGGAGTGAAAAAGCCACTGAAAGCAGAGCTTATGTTGCTTATTATCTTTTCAGGAGGAAAGCTACTGAAGTTATTAGCTCTGCAGGCTACTAGCCTCCAGTAGCTTTTCTTGTGCTGATCTTGTAAGCTCTGTAGGCTTTCTCCCTATAAGTCGATTTGAAATGAAACTTCACTTATAATGATGTCAAACTGCAGAAAAATTACTTCACTATAAACATGTTCCACTGTAATAAAATGTTGTTCAAATTCTGAACATAATAGATCTTTATTGCTTGCATCTGAAGAAGTGAGGTTCTTACCCACAAAAGCTTATGCTCCCAATACTTCTGTTAGTCTTAAAGGTGCCACAGGACCCTCTGTTGCTTTTTATAATAGATCTTTGACATCCTCAGTAGGAAAGAGATTTAATTTATATTCATATTATACCTTTTACTTTATATAACTCATGTGAGGACCTCAGAGTTCTTCACAAACACTAAAGACTTAGTTAATCACCACAGCACCCTTGTGAGGTAGGTAAAGTGTTACCTCTGTTCTGCAGTTGGGTAAAATTGAGGCAGAGATGTTGAATGACTAGGCCAAGGGTCACCAAGAAGTCTGTGGCAGAGCTGAGACCTGATCTGACTGCAAGAGCTATGCTTTATCCATAAATGCAGCTGTTCCTCCTATTAGATGATTGGATGGCCATTACTGACAACAGTCATATAAAATGTAGTCCATAGAAAATTTAAATGTTTCCTTTTGAAATAGTCTGTGCTGAAAAGTGGGTTAACTGTGTATTCCTGTCCATAGGCTTTGGTGGTGTGTAAAAGCAACTGATTGCATTTATTTCATTTTCACATAAATCAAACTGAGACTTTTATTTTGGTTTAAAAAAATATTAACAGCTAGATTTTGCAATCCTTACTCATGAAATCTCCTGCTGCCATCATCACTGAATCAGTACACTATGGAGTACCTGAGTAAGGACTGCAGGATTAGGCCCTAGATGATTTATAAATTGTCGTGTGTATTTTCTGGTGTACTGAAAATGCTTTATTTGCTTTCCTTCCTACTTCTAGAAAATGGGTATTCCAGCTAAACTGATCGTTTGTGGAATGACATCAAATGGCTTTACTATAGCAGACCCAGATGATAGAGGGATGTTGGATATATGTGGCTTTGATACAGGAGCTCTAGATGTCATTCGCAACTTCACTTTGGATTTGATTTAGTCTGTGAGCACCTGCTATTCACAGTGGGTCCATTGCTGGCAAGAGACTCTGCCCTGAAAACTCCCAGCCAAATGTACTATACTAAAATATGGCACATGATGCACATATCAGAATGATACCTTTTTGTAAAGAGAAAAGCAGATGAGTTATTACTTTTTTTTGTTGCACATAGTTTAAAAATAACAATGGGAAAGCCTTCTAAACGTTGCTACACAGTTTATGATTTAATTTCATTTATAATAGTTGAACAATACTAAGGTTTTCTGTCACTGTACAATGCCTTTGTCTTCAATAATAAATTGATGAGTTACTGCTGGTATTGGGAGTGGGGGCAGGAAAGGGAAATGGTGGTAATGTTTTTAAATAGTGTTAGTTTAACAGCAGTTTATTCAAATGTTGTTTTTTAATCTTTGTATTTGAAAAGAATAAGATTCAACCATTTTCATTGTTCAGTTTCAAATCTATAAAAGAGAAATTATTTTCTGGAGTGCACTAGACCATGTAACTGTGATGGAGTGTAAAAGTTACTTGTCAAATTTTATACTGACAAAGTGAAAGTGGAAATATGTGATTAAATTGTGATAATCAGACTTTTTCTGAACAGATTACTATCTGGATCTTCTAAAATAAAATGTGTAACTTTTTTGGTAAATTGAAAGGCAGTTTTTGTACATTGCAATTTCAGCAGCACTATTGTGGAATTTGTATGCTTTGTAAGAAATCTGTACAAACTCTTTTTAGCAAAAGAAAGGATCCCTGAAATCCATAAAATGAAGTCCCATCCTCCAAAGTAATAGCTTGCTGAAGTTTCAAGTGCTTTTTTGATGAGGAAGATTAACAAATGCATCTGAATTAGTGTAACTCTTAAGTTTCGGTCATCATAACCAGAAAAAAATTAGCTGTTAATTTCTGTATTATCTGCTCATTCTTTTGAAGAAATCTTATCCTAAAAAAGCAGAGCACTTCATGGCATTTAATCTGTTTAAAGCTTAACTTTATTTTTCTGATTTTTAAAAAGAAATTAAATCCGTAATCTATTTTCAAAACTACTTCTACTTCATAGTGACATTCTTACAATGATCTTTCTGCATTATACAGCGGCCGTCTTCACACTCAAAATCTTACTTGTTTAGCAATGTATTGGAAATGAGAGTTTTAATCTTCTGTATGACAATAAAGAAAGAAGAGGCCAAAAGGCATAGGGGAGAAAGTTATGTCTACAGATAACTTCTTGACTCTGTTTTAGAGCAGGGATTGATAGTAATGCGATTATATAATATCAAAAGGTCTTTTTCAAAATGTCACAGATTAAGAACACAAGTTTTATCTTTAAGGTTTTTTAGTAATACTTTACATCTTTCCCTAAACTGTATGCATGTGGCTGTCACAGTGTCCTGCTTAGGGTGACCAGACAGCAAATGTGAAAAATCGGGATGGAGGTGGGGGTAATAGGAGCCTATATAAGAAAAAGACCCAAAATCGGGACTGTCCCTATAAAATCAGGACATCTGGTCACCCTAGTCCTGCTAGCTGTGGTTATTTTAAAAGAGTAATTTGGTGTTTGTTTGAAAAAGATTGTAGTTATAAAATAAACTAATTATAGTAAATAATACATCACACTTCTGTTGCTGTGCTGAAAATGTGCTTTGAGATGTAAAGCAGGTGTTCACATTTGAACAATGGATAAACTCTTGATATCTCATTATTCAATATGTTTAAAGTATAAAGAAAATAAGTTCAAAGTTAGTGTTTGTAGGATGGAGATTTTAGACTGACAATATTTAAAATATCAGATGGGTGACTGCATGCCCAGGGCTTACTGCCTCAGTTAGTCAGACTGATGTTCAAGGTGTCATACTACCCATTTATGCCCTACTTCGAGGATTAATCAGAACAGTGAAGAATCCCACTCTGTCATGAATTTTACACGTACAGCACTTGAGCTGTTTTTTAAAATTATATCATTTGAAGAACTGGTGGTAACAGAGTAGTGCCTTTCAGTCAAAGTGAATGGAACTTCTTGCAGTTAATCATTGGTAGTAGAATAAAGTTTTCAAAATGCGAGGCTACTAACAGTTTTTTCAGGTGACCACATCCAGAAGCAACTCCATTGCTTTCTTTGTAAAAGGAATTTCAAGAGGCAGCTCCCCCATCTTGTTTTTCTCCTTGTAACCTATCCTTTTGGAGTGAGAAATTCCCTGACATTTTCAAGCCTCCTGCAAAAGAGGTACAAAGAACGTGGGGAATATACTTGATCAAGACGTTGTTAGTTATTTCAAATAAAGGCACTGGTGTGTTTTTTGTTTTAATATAGTAATTTTTTCTAAATCACAAAGGTTGAACATTTAATAAAAATGTTTACTGCTGAGCCAGAAATGTTAATGAAAACTGGGTAGGTGTTGTAAGTACAGTTTCTTATTGGGAAGTAATAAGAGTCTAGTGTTTTAGTATAAATATTACATGGATTGGAAAATTAGGAAGGTGTGTACTTAAAAAATGTGAAATGACCTTATGCAATTTTGCACAAACCTATGATAATTAAAAGGATTTGATTGGACTAATGACCGTACTGACAGATTAACAGTGGAGAATTACACTAATACTGAATCATTGAAATAAGCCCAGTTGAAAACCTAAATCCTTGAACTAGATAAGCAGAGTGAAGGTAAACATTCAGTACAGTCAATAGGACATTAAGTACATCTGTTAGAATTGTGTACCACTTCTAGTCATATCCTCTCCGTTATTGAAAAGATGGAGTATGGAATATGCTCCTACGTACTTACATTACTCTCTACTGAAAGATACTAATAGGGTACAATTTTACATTCTGACTGGTTTTGTTTGTACTGATAGGACTATATTGTCCCCTATGTGGGCTGCCTCCCCCAATGTTTCCATTAGTGGATGAGTAGGGTTTGTGCCTTCCTACTATGGAAGTGGTAGAGAGAGGAGTCCTTTTTCCCCAATAGCAGATTGACTGAGATCTGCAAAGGCCTTACCTCTGGCAGGAGCCAGGAGGCAACGCAGAGGGGCTGCTGTCGCCTAAACCTCCCCTTGAAGATTTCCAGAGTACAGAGAGGGACAGCTGAAAGTTTAACACTGACAAGGTATTAGCGTACATGCTGAAGTCCCACAAGTCTGGAAGACGTATTGCCACTCACCTCATTCTCTTTTAGCTTATGGTTCTGAACCCTAAGGTTGGGAGCATAGAGCATACGTTCTTTAGTTTTAAATCCAGTAACCCAACAGTTTCTAGTCTGCAGAATGAATAGGTCAAGATAATTTGCAAATTGGAGCGTGGATGTGTGTGTGGGTGAGTCTAATAGTTACAGTAACATTAAAAAAAAAACCTATTAAAATGTGTGAGCTAAAGGCGTAATTGCCAAACTTCATTTAGAATTAAATTATTTATGATAAGTATACTGAATTACCTTTTCACCAAAGAGGAGAGATGACCTTATCAAGCTCATATTGTTTGCAGTGGTGGAACACTTTGTTTCCATTTGGCTCTAGACAAAATACAATCAAGTATAATTATGCACTGAGATTTATTACAGAAAGGAGAAATTTAAGAGCTAGTTTGAAATTAAGTTCAGTTTTTCAAAGCGAATATGTCCAAATGTCTGCAATGGGCAAAAGTCCAGTTAGGAGTGTGATTTGATTTCCTGATACCTGCCTGAATAAAGAGGCTTTCAAATTAATTTCCATTTCACTAGGAACCCACATGCTAGTCCTAGATTTTTATTAGAATTATTGATAGCTACAGAATACATATGTGGGTTGTTTAAAGAATGAAAAACACTTAGTAATAGCCGGGTTTGTAATATAAAGTGCTGCTGTGCAAGAGGCTAATGGGGTTTGGAAGCATTTCAAAAATATCTAACATTATCCTAACACCTGAGAATAACCTAACTATTGTGTATATTTAAGGATGTAATGGTGACAGGCTTGTGCTTTGAGAAAGAAATGGCGGGCGGGGAGAACTGGAAGCATAATATGTAAGTAAAATACAGAAAGGGTGATCAAGTGCTCATGGATTTTATACGCCAAGAGCTTGCCTCGAAGCTGTGAGAGGATGCTTTTTTGATCAGAGCAGTGACAAGAGAGCCCAAACTGTAGTCCCATTGCTAGAAGAATATGTATATGGATTTAGGACTTCAAAAAAAACAACAACCTGATTTAAGATCCCAATTTGGGTAGCTCTTTAAAAGACAATTGGGGGCAGGGGAGAAGTATTTCCTGAAAATACTTAGGCCATGTCCACACTTACCAGTAGATTGACTCTGCTGCAATCGAAAGCGGTGTCGATCTAGCGGTCTGTTGAAGACCCGCTAAATGGATCGCAGAGCACTCTCCAGTCGATTCCAGTACTCCACCTCCCTGAGAAAAGAGAAGGAAGTCATCGGGAGAGCGTCTCCTGTCGACCCAGCACGGTGTAGACACCGGGGTAAGTTGACCTAAGCTACGTCGACTTCAGTTAAGTTATTCACATAACTGAACTAGCGTAACTTGGGTCAACTTGCTGCAGTAGTGTAGACCAGCTCTAAAATCCCCTTTCCACCTCATTTATTTACATTTTATACCAATTATATATCAAACATTAATTTAAAATAATGAAATCTAAACTATATCATAGAAAAGTTAATTAAAAGGGAACTTAACAGGTTGTCAAGAATTGGGTTTTACACTGAGAAATTTGGACTTACAATAAAGAAGAAGAATTTAAGATCCATTTGTATTTTTTAAATACAAAAAAAAAGTGTCATTTACCCACAATCCTAAAAATAGAAATGATAATCTAAAAATAAGTCTACTCAGCTTCCAGATGTCTTGGGGCCAGTTTGATAAAACAGCAGTAAAGTAACTGGCCATAAAACCACTTGGTGCCTAAAACACCTGTTAAGTCAGTTAGCTTGTAGACAAACATAGTTCAGTAATAATAAGCAACATTTTTATACTCCTTTAAGCCCCTAAAATAGTGTGTTGTTAAAAGGCTA